AAAAGCTCAGGCCACAAAAGCAAAAATAAATAAGTGGGACTACTTCAAAGTAAAAAAAAAAAATTATATCTTTTGCTGCTCTGTACAGCAAAACATATAATCAACAAAATGAAATAGCAGCCTACAAATTGAAAAAAATATTGGCAAACAATATATCTGATGAGGTTAATACCCAAAATTTACAAAGAACTCATACAACTCAATAGTAGAAAAACAAATAATCCAATTTTTTAAACGGGCAAAGGATCTAAATAGACATTTCTCCACAGAAGACAAAAATCACCAACAGCTATATCAAAAGGTATTTAACATCATTAATCATCAGGGAAATGCAAATCAAAACCACTATGAGATACCACATCACAGCTGTAAAGGTGGTTATTATTTTAAAAAGTCAAAAAATAACAAATGTTGACAAGAGTATTCAGAAAGAGTAATTAAAAATAGAACTACCAAATGACACACGATCCCTCTGCTGAGCATATACCCAAAGGAAATAAAATCATCACCATGTAAAGATTCTACATTCCTATGTTCATTGCATCATTATTCACAATAGCCAAGATATGGAAAAAACCTAAGTGTCTGTTGATAGAAAAATGAATAAAGAAATTGTGGTACATATATACAATGAAATATTACTCAGACTTACAAAAGAATGAGATCTTTTCAGTTACCACAACATGGCTGGGTCTGGAGGACAATTATGCTAAGTAAAATAAGCCAGACACAAAAAGAAAAATATTGCATGATCTCACTAATTAAATATGGGATCTACAAAAAGAAATCAAATATACAGAAAGAGAGAACAAAACAGTGGTTACCAGGGACAGAGGGGTTAGAGGGGATGAAATGGGAAGATGCAGGTCAGACGATACAAAGTAGCTGATATGTAGGATGAACAAGTCTAGAGATCTAAAGGACAACATGAGAACTGTAGATAATAAAACAGTACTGTATATGGGATTCATGCTAAATAAGAACATTTTAGATGTTCTTGCCACAAAACAAAACAAAACAAAAAAATAGGTAACTGTGAAAGGACAGATATGTTAATTTACTTCAATGTAATAATCTTTATACTATCTATGTATATCCCATAACATCATGTTGCATAGCTTAAATTTACAAAATAAAATTTACTAAAAAAAAATAAGTAAAAGGATAGTTACATTTAAACTTGAGTTTTAGGGGTAGGGAAAGGGCCAATCAGGGCAGGGTGGGTAAGAAATTTTGGGGGATGATGGGTGTGTCCTTATCTTGACTGCGGTAATGGTTTCACAGGTATATACTTATGTCAAAACATATCAAATTGTACACTTTAAATATGGGTCATTTATTCTATGTCAATTATACCTCAAAAAAATTGTTTAAAAAAAATCTTTTTAACTTCTAGATTTAAAAAACCATAAAATACTATTGGAAAGATATACTACGTTTATAAATTGGAAAACTTGATATTATAAAGATTTCAGTTCTCTTCAAATTGACCTATAGAAACAATGTAATCCAATCAAGATCCCAGATTTTTAATAATTTCATTTGCAGATTTCAAAATATATATGGAAATGCAAAAGGCAAAGAACACACAAGACAAGTTTGAAGAACAACATGAAAGGAGTTACTATATCCCTATCACAACTAAATATAAAGCAACAGTAATCAAGACAGTGGAATACTGGCACTTGGATAGACAAATAAACCAGGGGATCAAAGAGTCCCAAAACAGATGTTTGTGCATATGAACATTTGATTTATAACAAATACATGACTGTAAAGTAGTGGGGAAAGAGTAGTCCTTTTAATGAATGGAACTTAATCAATTAAACATTCATATAAAATGTATTCCTCCTAATTCATACCACAAATACCAATTTCAAGTAAATATCACATCTAAATGTGAAAGGTAAAACCATAAGCTTCTAAATGATTACACAAGAGAACATCTTTGTGATCTAAATATAGGGAATGACTTCTTAGACAGGTCAAACAAGTACTAACCACAAAAGAGAAGATGGAAAATTAAACTGGATTAAAATTCAATAGAAGGTCCCATTAAGAACAATATAAAAATGAAAAGAAACAAGCTGCAATATGGGAGATGATACGTGCAATATAAAAAACTCACAACGTGCTCATATAGAAAATATATAGGCCAGGTGCAGTGGCTCATGCCTGTAATCCCAATACTTTGGGAGGCCGAAGTGGGTGGATCATCTGAGGTCAGTAGTTCAAGACCAGCCTGGTCAACATGGCAAAACCTCATCTCTACTAGAAACACAAAAAAATTAGCCAGGTGTGGTGGTACACGCCTGTAATCCCAGCTATTTGGGAGACTGAGGCAGGAGACTCACTTGAACTCAGGAGGCGGAGACTGCAGTGAGCCGAAATCATGCCATTGCACTGCAGCCTGGATGACAAGAGCAAAACTCCATCTCAAAGAAAAAAAAAAAAGAAAAAAAATATATAAAGACCTCCTACAAAACAATAACAAAATGACAATCAATCCAATTGAAAAGTGGACAAAAGATGCAAACTGGCACTTCAAATAAGAAAATAACCAACAGTCTACAAACATATGAAAATATGTTTATCATCAGTAGTAATCATGAAATGTAAAAGAAAACCAAAATGTGACACCATAAACACCTATCATAATAGCTACTATTGAAAGGACAAGTAATAGCAAGTGTTGGAAAGAAGAAGAGCAACATGCATTCTCATACACTGTTAGTGGGAGTGTAAATTAGTGCAACCACTTTGGAAACCTATTTTTTGGTGTCTACTAAATTTGAAGGCATCTAGGATCTGCATTCCATGTTATGTACCATCAGAAATGCATGCACATGTACACTAAATATTGAATAAGAGCGGTCATAGCAGTATTATCCATAGAAGCCCCGAATTTCAAATAATCCAACTATCTATCTGTAGCTATAGAATGTTAAAATATATTGCCATATATCCATACAATGGAATACCAAAGAACAATAAAAATGAACAAAATGCAAGAACCTGACACAACACCCATTACAATCCTAATGATTAGCAAAAGAAGTCAAAGACCAAAAAAACTTGTCCTATATGGTTCCATGAATACAAGGAGTTCAAAACAGGGGGAAATTATAGGGTTAAAAGGCAAAATAGTGATTATCTTTAGAAAGCAAGAAGTTAGTGATTGGAAAGAGAAATTAGCAGTTTTATTGAATACTGGTAATATTCTATTTCTAGATCTGGGTGGTGAGGGTATGTTCGCCTCATGATAATTCATCAAGCTATACACTGATACATGTACTTTTCTGCATGGATACCTCCGAATTTTAAAAATTTAAAACAAGTGAAAAAGAAAAGAGAGCTTCAGCAGTTTCCCTTGTCAAGTAACAGGTTCCACTCTGGAATTTATGAGATGAGACAGAATATTACTTAGTAAGTTAAAGAGGACCTTAGAGCAACATTCTTAAATGTATACAGATTTCAAAATATATATGGAAATGCTCTTATTTAGTATGTAAATCAAACAATAGCACAGATTTCATACTGTGTGAACTATTGCAATTAACTAAGAAAAGCACCAAACTGTTAATCTCAGAAAAGTCCTTTTTTGGAAGTATGTGATGTTTTAGATATTTTAGACTGGTACAGTTTAAATTGAAGGTACCCTTGGTACGTCTGAAAAAATCTAGAACTTTATGCAAAAAAATAAATATATCTTGATATTACATATTAGATGCCACATTGCCACACATTAATTGCAAAAATGTTGTCTACTTCAGCAGAAGACAGGCATTATATCTTCACCTTTCTAAGGCTCTTCACAAAAAGCTTAATACCAAAAACACAAAAGTATTTTCATGTAGCCAAGTGTTTATTCATATTTTTAAAATAAGCAAATTTCACTATAAGAGAAATTTTCAAATACCATATTTTCAAAAAGATCAACTTCATTGATCTTTTTATCTCTTAGCACATTCAGCCAATAAATTCAAACCCCAAAATGAACTCAACATATCTATGTAAGGAACTGTAAACAAATTAACAACTGGAGAAAAATTTACTAGGAAACTTTCAATTTGAATAAAATATATTAAGAAAAAAATCCTGCTCACTTTCCTTATCTTGAAAAAAAGGTATTATGAGAAATGAATAAATGAATAAATACACTCCTGAAGTTGACAAATTTGCAAGTTTAGTGACCATTAACCGTTTCCTCCTAAAAAGACAAACTGATAATATAAAGAAATTAACACTATATAGACTGTATTTTTTTAACCTTAATTCCACCAAGGATAGTGATTTGATAAAAATATATCACTGAACAGTGAGTGTCAACAATATGACTTTGAGATAATAAAGCTTGGGAATTAGGAGTATTTTCAAATGGAACCATATCAGACAAAAACAGACAGCAAAGAGGTCTTTCTAGCAATTGTAACTACACACATATGAGACAACCTGAAAATGGGAAGTGCTACAAAACCACTATGAAAAGCATTCTGCACAGGAGGCTGAGGCAGGAGAATGGCGTGAACCCGGGAGGCGGAGCTTGCAGTGAACCGAGATCCGGCCACTGAACTGCAGCCTGGACGACAGAGCGAGACTCCGTCTCAAAAACAAAAAAAAGAAAAGAAAAGCATTCTGCACTTCTCAAATATCATTTCACAAAAACGCAACAATCAGAGCCAGTAAAACTTAAATTATCTTTCAAATAGTCATCATAAACTCTAACCTAGTTAAAACAAATGTTGACTCTATCTGTAATATGCTAATACTATTATATAAACCTCTAAATGTAAATGCCAAATAAATATACCCTAAATATAAATATATCAAATATAAATACCCAAAATTCATGAACATTTTATAAGAGCTACAAGAACACACTTTTAGACAAAATGGGACTTACCACCCAAAAGGTTAAACTCTACTAAACTTCACTGTGATTACGGCCAGCCCATCCTCTATATGTGAAATAAAACTTTTTATTAAAAAAGAGGTCTCACCACTTCTTGTTTCTGGGCTTCATTAAGTTTTTCAGTCAATTCTTCCAAAGTCCTTTTTGTTTCGGCATCCGACCTAGGCCACAAAAAAAGATTTAAACTTGGATATTTAGAAAATACACAGAACTAGTGAAATGCATAACATGATAATTATGTTATTACAAAATATTCTACTTTAGTGGTTCTCCAATGTTATAAACATCTGAAACACCTGGAAGGCTTGTTAAAACGCAGACTGCTGGATCCCGTCCCCCAGATTTCAAATCAGCAAATCTGAGATGAGGCCCAAAAATGTGCCTTTCTAAAATTCGTAGGTGATGCAGGAATAGAGGTCCGCAGGTCTGGAGACCAAACTTTGAGAACTGCTGCTACACTGGAACATCACTCTCAGTAAACAAACATGTTGCAATATCTCCCATTTTAAATTAAGAAAAAAGGAAGAGAGAGAGGGACAGAAGAGAACAAAAACTCTTAATCTTACACGCTCTTTCTAGCAATTCATAAAGAAATTACCTCAAAGTGTGCTGTGCAAACTCTATCCTCACTAACCGACCTCCCATTACCTTGTTTCTCATCAAATTAATAACATACATGATAGGCCGGGCGTGGTGGCTCACGCCTGTAATCCCAGCACTTTGGGAGGCCGAGATGGGCGGATCACGAGGTCAGGAGATCGAGACCATCCTGGCTAACACGGTGAAACCCTGTCTCTACTAAAAAATACAAAAAACTAGCCGGGCAAGGTGGCGGGCGCCTGTAGTCCCAGCTACTCGGGAGGCTGAGGCAGGAGAATGGCGTGAACCCGGGAGGCGGAGCTTGCAGTGAGCTGAGATCCGGCCACTGCACTCCAGCCTGGGCGACAGAGCGAGACTCCGTCTCAAAAAAAAAAAAAACAAAAAAAACATACGTGATAAATGAACAAATCGTACAGAAAGATTTACAAAGAAAAGAAAAAGCCTTTCTGTCTTGCACTGTCTTACTTCTGGCTGCACTTCCCTCTGTGAATCATGCACAACCATTTCCATTATTAATTATTTTGCTAGTCGCCTTCATCATGTTCAACTCAAGACATTTTCGATTGGCTGTTTTGAAATACTTAGCTCATTCTCTAATTTCAGATTATGTTATTACCATTTTTGATTCTATTGGACCTGTAGAGTTTTATGTAATACACTTATACATCTTATGAATATTGTGAATTATTCCATCCTATGAAATTGATGGAATTGATGCTTTGTGCTCACATTCTGTCATGCTCACATTGTAGTCAGCTTCACACTTGAATCATAACTTTCTTGTGTTCTTGTCTTTTCCAAGCTTTCTCATTATCTTTTGGCTTTATATGGGCCTTACTTATCACATCATTGATATTTTCCTCCCACTTCTTACTGAATGGTCAACAAACCATCTATTTCACTCTTTTTGACAACCTTCTTCTCAAGGGACACTTACTTTCCTGCTCTAATGTAGAGTGAATACTTCCTGGGCCTGCTCCATGACTGTCATTCCAGGGTTACTTTCACTGAATCCCCAGGTTAATTTTACTATTTCTTAATATCTTTATCTTTCTATTTCTTAGTTACAATCTTATTTAACTTATGTATCCTTAAAAAGATACATTTTCGAAGACTTTAAACCTCTGAAAATGTCTTTCTGTATGTATGTATAGAATGTTAAAATATATTGCTGTATATTCACACAGTGGAATACCAAAGAATAACAAAAATAAGTAAACTGCAAGAACCTGACACAACACCCATAAATATTACAGCCCCTTTCTTGGCTTTCGTGGCTCTATGCTGTCTGGAATTTCCCCCATCTCACTAGCTATTCCATCTCAGGTCAGCTCCTCCTTCTATCATAAGATTCCTAAATATTACAACTCCTTGCAACTCAGTCCTGTCCTTGATATCCTCCCTATAGTTTCTCTCTTGTTATTATCCATTTCCATGGTTCCAAATGACACTTCTCCATGCTGACCACTCTTAAATTTTACCTCAACAGAGACTTTTCCTTTGAGCTCCATAGTAAATATCTATCTGAATATTTTACTTTCCATGTGAATGTCTCACAGGCATCTTGAACATAACACATTCAAGGCCAAACTCTCTACACCTCACCTACCCAAACCAGTCTTCCATATCTCAGGAAGTGGAATCACCATCTACTTAGTTATTCAAATTGAAAATCTTAGAGTCATCCTTATTCTCCCTCACCCACCACTACCAAATCCTGTCTCTTTGATTTCCAAAAACAGTATCTTCAAACACACCCCTGTCCATCTCTCTCCTGCCATAATCCTGGGTCAGGTGACCATCAACTCTCATATACTAGTGCAACAGACTTCTACCTTGCTCTCCTCAAATCAATTTTTTTTTCCTTTGTGACAGGTTTCACTCTGATACCCAGGCAGGAGTGCAGTGACTCAGCTCACCGCAGCTTCAACCTCCTGGGCTCAAGCAATCCTCCCACCTCAGCCTCCCAAGTAGCTGGGACCACAGGCATGTGCCACCATGCCAGGCTAATTTTTCTGTATTTTTAGTAGAGACGGGGTTTTACCATGTTGCCCAGGCTGATCTCAAACTCCTGAGCTCAAACGATCCACCTGCCTCGGCCTCACAAAGTGTTGGGATTATCGGCCTGAGTCACTGCACCTGGCCCAAATCAGTTCTTCATATGGCATCCAAAGTAGGTGATTTCTGAATTAAACTTTACTTAATCCTTTCCAAAAGCTTGCTTCCCAATGTACTTTTATTATTCAATGTATGTTTTGTAATAAATGTCAAAAATGAAAAATCAGTAATTAAATGAGAATACCAACCTTTCAACATCAAATAGAAAGTTAAACTTTTTAACTCCCTGTCCATTATTTTTATAAACATGAAGTAAGAATTTGTGGTACAAGTAAAGCAGAACAGCATCCAGAAATTTTACACATTCACAAAGGTAAGCCACCTCATTTCCCAAGAAACCTAACTCCTATTTTGGGTTAAACAAAGTTTTCTGCCTCACACATGCCTCTAGGTCACAAGGCTATTACCAGATGGTACCAGCCTATAGATCATAAAAACTATTACCAGATACTAACAGCCCAGTCCAATATTGGTTATTTAAATGACCATTGAAACTAATCAACTAAATCATCCCTGCAACTTCCCCTGTGTCTTCTTACAAGGCAGCTATTCCCTGTAACTCATGTTCCCAGTGCTTAATTTATACCCTTCCTTGAAATGGGTAATGGTTATGTAATAAAACCATTCCTACAATACATTAAAGTGTTAATGTCATTTTGTTAATTTTATCAACTTATAAAAAAAAAAAAAACCTAAATATTAAATAAGTCTTACCAGTTTAAAAGGTTAGCAATATAGCTCAATAATATATCTCACGATCCAGGAATTTAAATGCTTTATTCATATCAGTCACATGGGAAAATGATTTTGAACCACCATATACTGTAAGTGATAAAGAACAGAAACTTCGGGGCCTTACTGCCTAGATTTTAATTCTGACTCCGCTACAGCCCTCCTGTTGGATTTCCAGAGAGCTGAGTTATTTCATCTCTCTCTGCCCATTTCCTCATCCATAAACTAGAGGAAAAATTAATGATTACCTCAAAGGGTAGTTACTAGAATTAAAGTTAAATCATGAAATAAGGGCTCAATAATATTAGCTAATAGCACTAGTAATAATGGTAGAATCTTTCATTCTCATTACAGCCTATACTTGATATTCATAGATTTAACATTTATAGTTTTGACTATGTTTGTTGCAGTGACACAGAACTAGTGCGTGGTATGATTTAAATAGCTGGAGTCAGCAAGCAAATATCATAAATAAATTTCAATTCAGCTTTATTGTTCCCTAATCATTGCTGTATATGGATTGCAATTCTTAGGAAGGCATAAAAATCTTTGTTTTTCAGCAAAACATGGCCTCCAAAAGAAAGCCACCTGCCACTGGTGATGACAAAAACGGACAGAGAGTAAAGAAGTTTAAATTAAATAACAGCTCTTGGGGACTATCCAGATTGACAAAATTGCGAAGATGGGGCAGATGTTAACCACTGACCCTCAAAGAATTCAACTAAAAGCTAAAGTATTGCATTCTGCAATGGTTTATGTTCATTGACAAACTTCATGTTACACTTCTTTTTTGTGTGTGCAATGCCAAAAGTCAGTCAGCTAGCGAGTCAGTCTTTGTGTCTCTCTCTCCAATGGTATTTGCAAATCTACCTTTTTGCAAAAGTCTCACAATGTATCCCTCCATAATGTCAGCATTCCATTGTATTAAGTTACAGTGTTTTTAGAAATAGGAAATTAATTTGTCTAACACTGAGTCATGATATATTCTAAATTCAAAGGGCCGTAAACTGTTCTGTTAATAAATTTTAAGATACTGTATAAAAACAACACTTTTTAAAAATTTAGATAAATATGTCAATTACAGAAGCTAATTTATTCTCCTCATAATTTATCCCTCTCATAAAAACCATAGGCTGCTTTTACCGGCTCCTTCTGGAAAGCTCCCTGTTGAAATCATCTCCAAGGCGAATTTGTTCACTGCTGAGGTCTCGAAGAGACTGATGAAAAGCATGAAGCTAGCAAAGGCAAAACACAGTTATCCATTTAGAATTCTGTTGAATTCTTCCATGTAGATTCGCCAAAGGTAAGAATAAGATCTCGTTCTTTGCAATAATAACCAGATTCTGTAATATTATTATGAAAGAAAACACCTAATTTTGAAAGAAAAAATTTCCAAGAAAAACAAATATTTAAAAGCTTTATATAACATTTACCATCACATTTTCTACAGTACAATTCTACTCCTTCAGAATTCTACCCCTCTAGAAGGGGTCTGTTTCTTCCTTAATCAGAGTAAAAGAAAAAGAAAAAAGAGAGAGAGAGAAAGAAGGAGAAAACCGGTCTGCCAACTTTTTCTGTAAAGGGCCCAATAGCGACTATGCCAAGGATTACAAGCTGTACGGTCTCTGTCACAGTTAATCTTGCCACTGTAGCGCAAAAGTAACTGTAAACAAATAAGCGTGGCTGAATTACATAAAATTTTATTCTATCAGCCTACAATGCCTTAGTTTGCCAACTCCTGCTGTAGAGAAACTCTTGCTCATGTACACTTGGAACCACGTACAGGAAAGTATGGTGCAGCATTATTCATAATGAGAACATGAGAAACCAAATGTACACCAAGATAAATAAATTGTGGTGTGTTCCTCCACTGCAGTATGATATATCAATGAAAATGAAATAATCAAAGATAGCTATGCATTAGTAAAGCTGAATGTCAAAAACACAACATCAAGTAAAATAAGAAGTTACAAAAGATTACAGTAGTATCCCATTTACATAAAGTTTAAAGGCAAGCAACACTAAATAAGATGTAGGTAGTAAAAATTTAAAAAGTAAAAAAAAATTGTTTTTTAAAGCAGAAACAGTGTCATGATATGTATGAAGTCAGGATAGTGGATACCCCTTGGGAAAAGATGGAGTATAAAAGAGGCTTGGGGGTATGATAATGCTTTACTTAGTGGCCTGGGTGGGGGTTATATGGGATTCATTCTCATTATTGTAACTTTAACTGTAAATATATATGCTGAATATAAATAGAATGATTTATAATAAAACTACGTTAAACAGACTTGAAGAAACAACAAATTGATTCATTTCAACAAATGCACATTAAGCAATTTATCAGTGCCAGCTACTGAGAAGTGGTTCACAATCTGATACGAGAGCCAGATATGTAAACAAACCACAAATTCTTTACGGGGGCATTAAGAAAGTACACAGTCAAGTGGAGCTAAGGGTAATTTTGAGAATGAACTTAATGAGGAAGAACCATAAAAAGAAAGGAGTGAAGTAGTATAGCAAATGAAAAACTTAAGTTTTGCAATCATGATTTTCCAATTTAGCAAACCAGAATCCGGGGATGCATCCTTGACACTTCCTTTTCACTCACTGCTACATTCCCCACATGGCTATCTAATTTTCAAGACCTCTCCATTTTATACACTAACACGCTTTTAATTCTACCTCCTTCTCTCCAACTCCATCTATCCTAACCCAAGTGACCATCAATTCACATCCAGAGCACAGTAAAATCCTTCTAATTGGTTCACCCACATTGACTCCATTTTCCACACTACAGCCAGAGTGATCTTTTCAAGATAATTTTGTCAGCCCTGTTACACAGCTCTACATAATCTCAGCCCTTCGTACTTGTTTAGCCTGGTGGGCCTTCTTTAAATTGCTCATAGGGGCTATCTTCTCTCCTGCCAAGCTATCTGTTCTCCCTGGAATGACTCTTTCTCAACTTTCAAATCTCAGCTCAGTCAGCCTTTCTTCAGGAAGCCCTCCTTGCCTGGGGCATGTGCTCTACCATACAATTCTGTAGCCCTATGCATCTTTTCACTATAGCATGCATCTCAGTTCATAAATAAGGTTGTATTTATGTATTCATTTAATATCGAGCTCCTCCTCTAGATTATAAACGTATTAAAGACAAGGTTTCTGCTCATCACTGTTTCCTAGTGTAAGCATTATCCCAATAACAGAGACATTAAATAAACAGAAGGAAACAGTAAATGAATAATGTTAAGATATTGTTCTCTGTTCTGGGCTTCATCATATAGTCCATGCTTGCAAGGTGCAACTATCAAAAAAATAACATTGCCAAGGAAAAGTTTCCACAGGGTGTCTTCTAATACATTTGATTTTTTGTCTCTTTATGCAGTAACAAGTGACAGCTACAGATGAGTATCTTAAGATACACTTTGAGTACCTAATCCGAAAACTACCAAAACAGAAAGGTCAAAGTGCAGAACTCTCCCAGCCCTTTCGATTTAATTTAGCTACTTAAGACAACAAAAGGAAAAATCACAGCTCTGCAGAGAACTTTAAAGAAGCAGAAAAAGATTTCCACAAAACTAGTACTTCAGAAATCTTTAGTGAATACATAAAGTATGGAATTTCTTACTTAATAGCAAATGGCTCTATCAATGATTCAACAATCAGAAAAACATTAACGGTAGGAAAATCAGTAGATCAACCACACAAAGATTAACTTGGTCATACTAAACCAAACTTAGTAAAAGAGAAAGTAGCTGACTTAGTAGGGCTTACGGAAAAATGTGCTGAACAAGAAAGGAAACAAAACATGTCCAATTAAGCTCATTTTTAAATGTTCTGCAAGATATAATCCTCCATAACAAAACTCAAAACAAAGGGAAGATGATTTTTACATTGAAAATAAACTAGTTTACTTGAAAAATCCTATATTAACAACCTTATATTCACATAGAATGACAAAAGACCCCATATAGCCAAAACAATCCTAAGCAAAAAAGAACAAAGCTGGAGGCAGTATACTCCCTAATTTCAAAACATTATAAAGCGCTTGTAATCAAAACAGCACGGTACTGGCAAAAAAACAGATGCATCAACCTATGAACAGAGGCGAAATCCCAGAAATAAACCCACACATTTGTGGTTAGCTGATTTTTTATGAAGGTGCTAAAAACACACAATGGGAAAGCATAGTCTCTTCAATAAATTGTGTCTGCAAACTGCACTACATGCAGAATAATGAAATTAGACCCTTATCTTATAACACACAAAAAAACAACTCAAAATGGATGAAACACTTAAATACAAGACCTGAAACTATAAAACCACTAGAAGAAAACGTAGGAGAAAAGCTCCATGACTTTAATTTAGACAATGATTTCTTGAATATGATGACCCCAAAAGCACAGGCAGCAAAAGCAAAAATAGGCAAACGAGATCACATCAAACTATAAAGTTTCTGCATAGCAAAGGAAACAATTAATAAAGTGACAAGACAATCCACAGGATGGGAGAAATATCTGCAAACCATATATCTGACAAGGCATTAATATCCAAAATATACAAAGAACTCAAACAACTCAATAGCCAAAAAAAAAAAAATTTTAATGGGCAAAGGACCTGAACAGACATTTCTCAAAAGAAGACATAACAATGGTCAATAGGTACATTTTTAAAAATATTCAGCATCAGTAAACTTTAGGAAAATTCAAATTGAAACCACAATGAGATATCACCTCACACCTGTTAAAATGGCTTTTATCAAAAAGATGGAAGATAAGTGTTGGACAGGACGTGGAGGAAAGGGACCCCTTGTACCCTTGTTGGTGGGAATGTAGATTAGTACAGCCATTATGGAAAACTGTATGGAGGGTCTTCAAAAACTAAAACTAAGACTACCATGTGACCCATTAATCCCATTTCTGGATATATCCCCAAAGCTACTAAAATCAATGTGTCAAAGGGATATCTGCACTCTCATGTTCATTGCAGCATTATTCACAATAGCCAACATCTGCAGACAACCTAAGCGGCCATCAGTGAATGAATGGACACAGAAAATGTAGTATATATACACAACGCAATACTATTCAGCCTTTAAAAAGGGAGAAATCCTGTCATTTGCAAAAACATGGATGAATCTGAAGATATTATGTTAAGTAAAAAAGGCCAGGCACAGAAAGACAAATACTATATGATCCCACTTGTATATGAACTCTAATAAAGTTGAACTCATAGAAATATAGAGGAGAATAATGGTTACCAGAAGGTGGTGGGGAGAGGGGGTGAAGAGGGAGAGAAAGGGGAGTTGTTGATCAAACAGTCCAAAGTTTCAGACAGACAGGAGGGATAGGTTTTGAGATTTATTGCACATCAGGGTGACCAGTGTCAATAATAACGTACTATATATTTCAAAATAACTGACAGAATAAATTTCAAATGTCTCACCATAAAAAATGATAGATAAGCAAAGTGATAGATGTTAACTTGATTTAATCATGCCACATTGTATACATATATTAAAACATCTTATTATACCCCATAAATGTATACAACTATGATTTTTCAATAAGAAAAAAATAATAAAAAGTAAAATAAAGTCATTTACTTGGTTCAAAATCAAAGGGATCAGTATAGTTACTAATGATCAAATTGGTTAAAATATAAACTTAAAGTTCAAGTGTTAGTCATCTATATACAATAGAAACATAAGGAAATACTGCACACAAATTACAGAATTGTACAAAGTACCTGAGTCATATCATCAGTCTCTTGAACAAAGCGGACACCAGTTCTTGATCTGGTATTTCGTTTAATACCCAGTGGATCCCCATAGTCCTTGAGAGGTGAGGTAGGTGGAAAACGATGGCTCTCTTCACAAGTGAAAGAAAAGGGAAGGTATTAAAACACTGCATAGAAGAGACAATCTAAAATTTTACTCAGTACAAACAAGGCAGACATGGATATACATATACATATGTCCCTAACCCAGACTATTTCCCAACTATCTTGCTATGGCTATAAAGTTCCACCAAATTAGCATTAATTGTGCTCTTAAAGCAGATAAAATGAAAACCAGAAATAACCTGGAAATAGAACACTCCAAAGTTTCAATTTGCTATACTTTCCAAAGAAGCAACATATTTGCTCATATAAAAATAATAAATTGCTAAATAAAAAACTTGTATGACCCCTTAATATAACTTAATACTAAAAAACACAATTTTTAAAACTACGTAATCTACAATCTGAACAGCATATAAAAATAAAAACTAACTACATAAAAAATACCCAATTTTTAATCACTTTGATCACAATCAACAGTAATATTAACAATGTAAGGTACCAATGTTCAATTATCTAAATCGTCTCCCCTTACTGCAGGCTTTTCGATTCAAACATGAATCTCAGTGCTATACAAAAGTGTAAGTAAGATTAATTAGGACAAACGGTCATAACCTTTAAGCTAGTCATTCATATCCACCAGCATGCCAAGACTAAAATTCATCTGGTCTTAACAAGTATCACAGGATATTTCATAAGACATGTGAAATGTATTATGCTAGGACAAGATACTTAACCTAAAAAGTGTATCACATAGTGAATCTTATTTATGTATTTGTTTTGATTCTTTGGCAGCAGACAATTAAATCCAGGTTTTTGTCAGGTAAAGCTCTAATGTGGTCTACAGAGTCTGAGGAAAAAAACATTATAACAACAAAAATCCTTTAATATATTTCAAATTATGTACTATAAAATCCTGGACAACTACATGTTCTATCATCCAATATCCAATCTGCGTGAAGTTATGCATGGGTCATATTTCTCCAAAAATTAAATGTATTCAATATCTACTTCAAAAATATTTTTAAAACAAAAAAATGTTTTCCAGAACATTTGAAGTGTTTACCTGGCCCAGTGCCACCATCAAGGTCACTTGCACTCAAACTTGTAACAGAAATACTTCTCCCTCCTGAGTTTCTCAATAAACGTTGACTCCGGAGTTGGTCGATAGATTGTTCCAAGCTTTCTTTTAACTAATTTAAAGAATATAATGAATGAAGCATTATTCTTCCTAAACAACTTCCAAATACAAATAGACCAAAGATTTTCAAAGCTATTTCTGAAATATCTGGGTTCCCCCCAAAAAATATATCAGAAAATGTTAAACTATGTTTAAAATATAAAAATAGTAAATACAAATATTTTAAGAACCAATACTAAAATCTGGTTTTAAAAGGCATCTGTCACTCACTACCTATTCCATTTTTTATTGCCAGATGTGGAAAAGATGTCTACTGTGTAAGGGCTTACAAAACCAAATTGAAATGTCTAATTGGTGTGCCACTCATGTGAAGAAACATAACAAGGTCAACACAACTGAAAGAAGACAGAAAACTTTCCTCCCTTCTAAACATTCCTTCAGAAACTCCAGGTCTACAACAAATAGGAAACTAAACAGCTGTCACAGTGACAGCTGCTACTGAAACAATGTACACTGTCCAACTGTATTAGCAGAATACCTCTTTCAGTCATTCAAAGGCTCCAAATCCCAGAAAATGATTGGGTCAGATATCAGACTGCCAGTACACACTAAAAACTACAGTTGTCCAAATGCTTTATTCAGTTTATTAAGGAGTCAGCCAACAGGGGACGTACAAAAACATCTCTTTAGACTTAAAGAGCTACATTACATAAAAACATGCTAAATACTGAGAATAATGTTCAGAGCTGTAAACAATTACAGACCTGAGAATAGGATTCGACTAAGACCCCAGGGAAAAAAAGAGTAAAGCTGAAGAAAATTCATACATCCTGAATTGCCGGGAAACTTCGGGTCTAGATATCTTATTCAAGGATGAACAGAAAGTAATTTTAAACATAATGCATGGATCCATGGAACAAGTCATCTATAACTATTTAAACAGAATTTGACATTCTGTATAAACCAAATGATTCACTGAGAAGACAGGGTTTCCTAAATTCAGCCAGCGTTAAAAGGTAAAACACCATTTATGGGGAGAACAAGTTGCTTTACTTGGAGAAACGAGCAGAAAGAAAGGAGCCTCAACTGAAGGAAAAGCACAGATGAAACAGAATATGAGTCACAAACAAAGCAAATCCTTTTTCAGTCTGGCTGTTTGGATTTGGCTGTTCTGGAGAACTAAAATTGAAACAATTTGTATTAAAAGAAGTAGAGTTAGAATTTCAGGAATCTACTTCTTTTGTCCCTCTCATTTCTGTAAGAAAAAAAAAAAAAGAGGATTTCCACATCCCTCTGTTTCCTCCTTCCCTAAACCGGGATATGTACGATACCATCCTGCTTGAGTATTCACCAGCCAGCTATAAGGCTCAGCATCAGCTGGGCGCGGTGGCTCACGCCTGTAATCCCAGCACTTTAGGAGGCCAAGATGGCTAGATCACTAGGTCAGGAGTTCAAGACCAGTCTGGCAAACATGGTGAAACCTCGTCTCTCCTAAAATACAAAATATTAGCCGGGCATGCTGGCGGGCGCCTATAATCCCAACTACTCGGGAGGATGAGGCAAGAGAACCGCTTGAACCTGGGAGGCGGAGGTTGCAGTGAGCTGAGATTGCGCCACTGCACTGCAGCATGGGTGACAGAGTGAGACTCTGTCTCAAAAAATAAAAAAATAAAAATAAAAAAAACAACTCAGCATCAATCCACAAAACATACTATGATGCCCAGGAAAATCAAGGTTTACCTTTAGAGTAATTTACACATACATAAAATAACACATAAGTGGACCAGAGATCTTACGCAGTGACCACAAAGTAGTATATCAGTAATCTATGACAAAATTATCAGAATAAAACTAAACAATGTTAAAGCTTAAAAGCCCAAATTCAAACTGTAACATGAGAAACAGACTAGAAATATAAAGTGACTTTAGATCATACAAATTAGTGTCAGAACAAAAATGTAAAATCAGCTCTCTTAACTTTTGCTGCGTTTATTATTTCCATCTTTCAAGCTAAACTCAATTTCAGTATCCTTTTGAAAGCAGAGTCAGCTATCATTTCTTACTACTGCTTCTTTTTGAAGGTAATCTGCCTTTTTAGCTCTAGCTATTTTTCAGATTTTCTCTTTACCTTTGTCAGTGGTTTTATTATGTATCACTATCTACAGTTTTATTTGTATTTATTCCATTTTTTATCCATAGAGATCTGAAAATCCATAGCTTAATAAATTTCATATGTTGTAAATTCTCAGGCATCATCTTTCCAAATATTGTTTTTGCCTCATTCTCTCTCCCCTCTCCTTCTGGAAATGCAACTGCATTTAAGTTATACCTTTTTACCAAATGCTATATGTCTTCTTTTCTCTTTTCTACATTTTTTTCAATCTTTCATTCTTCCAGTCTTTTTGGATATCTTATGCTGGTTTGTCTTTCAATTCATGAATTCTCTTTCAACTATACACAAGCTATTGTTCACTTCATTCATTAAAGGTCAGTTGGTTATTTACTTATCTTATTTTTCAGTTTCTGAAATTTTCATTTGGTTCCTTTTAGTTTTCAGTTATTTTCCAAATCTCTTAATTTTTTCTTTTAATTTTTTAAACATGTTATTCATGGTTACCTTATAGTCCCATATATTTTTCTATTTTCTGCTTCTTCCCTTGGTTTTCAGATACCTTTTATATTCTCTTATGTCTGTGTATTCTTTATCATGTGATAGACATTTTACATGAAAAGCTGTAGAGATAATTTAAAGTTTGAGAGGATGACATCTTTCTTCAGAAAAATCTGGTTCTGTTTCTAATAGAAAGTCAGGTTGGGGTCACTAGCAATATCAAATCACCTTAATCCACTTAGGAATTGAGTGGTTCAAGGACAGGCTTCTGTTACTATGAAGGCTGTTCTATTTTCAGTTTATCACTTCTCATTTCCAATTCACCACTTTGCCTATACTGTCACCCTTTGGTGTCTCCATTAAAGCTGAAGGGCTCCTGAACTCCAGTTTTGCTCTTCCAAGCCTCTTAAGTTGATTGATAACTCTGATCCTAGCCTCTCTGCTTTTAATCCGCCTCTTTAGGAATCAGCCATCACCTTGAAGGAGGAAAAAAGTCCCAAATATAAGACTTACCCTTCTGGACTTACATTTTTTGCCAGATCCTGACTACAAAATTCCTTACTGCCTTAGTAGTTTTTTGATGGATTCATAATATTATTTTTTTACTTTTTTTTTTCATGTTTCTAGTTGTTCTCAGCAGAAGAGTTGATCGAAAATAATCTTATCTACCAATGCCAAAAGCAGATCTTGCCAGCATCCTTTTTATGTAGGCTTATTTGCTAACAAATCCTAAGCTGTAACTAAAAGCTGAGAAATAAAATGAATTTTCTCACACACACACACACACACACACACACTCCCTGCCACCAAAAGAAAAAAAGCTACCATGAGACATACAGAAGAACATTAAAGAACAAGAGAAATGAAACATTTCCCCAAAATCTAAGAAGAATAAAAGATGTTCAAAAACTATTTCAAAAATACAAAAATTACAAAAATGATTTGTCAACCCCATTTTAAAACTCTAAAAAGATATATCCAAAGCCATTGAAGATGAACAGGATGATTTATAAGGTCCAAAAAATAAAATTATGTAATGTAAAGGGAGATGAATGAAATAAAGGCTATTTTAAATTACTCTTCCAAGCATTATGGCAAAAACAATTCTTGCATCTAAAACATAAAACTAAAAATGTAATAGAATTAAAATCTACACTTGAAGTAGTCACAACACAACACAACAGACACTGCACAAAATTTAATAATGTATGGAGCCGATTTGGTAACTCCTAAAACACAAAAACCAAGAAATAAAGAGATAAAGTATAAAGTCATAAAAATTGTTTTAAACTCTTTCGGATTATAACACCTTACTAGGTGTAAAGCCGAACCAAACAAAATTAAATAAAAACAAAATAATATTAATAAAACTCAATCTAACATTAATTTTCTATGATGGATGATATTATTTTCCTAAAATTAATCAATCTCACCCAAGACTGTGGTACTAACTACAATGTTGTAAATTCTTTCGAGTCTAGTAGGACTACCTCACCAGATACCAAATGATGATCCTATTTTCCCCCACTTTCCCCTGTCTGAAGTACTGTAAAATGGACATCACAGAACATAATATAATGTATATCAATACCTCACTTGATATAAATGCATTATTTAAAGATTAGGTCTATTCTTTCACCCTCTGTTCTTTTGATATTAACCTGAAACAATGGAAACTACTGTGTACCAGTATAAATGCAAATAAAATTTGGGCACTGGAATTGAATGGCTATGGTTTGGATCTGTGTCCTCACCTAAATCTCATGTTCAATTATAACCCCCAGTGTTGGAGGTGGAGCCTGGTGAGAAGTGATTGGATCATGGGAGCAGAGTTCTTCTGACTGGTCTAGCACCATCCCCACTTGGTACTGTACAGTGAGTGAGTTATCATGAGATCTAGTTGTTTAAAAATGTGTAGCACCTCTCCGCTCCTTCCCATGCTCCTACTCTGGCCATGTGACATATGTGCATCCCCTTTGCCTTCTGCCATGATTGTACGTTTCCTGAGTCCTCCCTAGAAGCTGCTTCCTGTACAGCCTGTGGAACAGTGAGCCAATGAAACTTTTTTTCTTTATAAATTACCCAGTCTCAGGTAGTTCTTTATAGCAATGCAAGAAAGGACTAACACAGGTAGTTTATCCAAACCATCAAGACATGCTTTTTCAGATTTAAGCATGTAGTAGGCTTCCTCTAGCCAAAGATAAAACAATTTGAGCATAAATAAAAACATTAACTGCAATGGATGAAAACACTTTAAATATGCATAAATTATAAGTTAATAATGATACTCAAGGGGTAAAAAAGTCATTGGTCACCATAAGAAGATGTAGGAAATCAATTATTTTGGAAACTGA